TCATATACCTAGAGGAAAGCCTGAAGAACAAGAACAAAGACAACTGCTTGTCAAGGTATACACAGAAGAGAAGATGCGAATCCGTAATCTACAGCATCATGACAGCATGCTGGGACCAATAGATGCGCATGCAGGAAAGAGCGTTGAGGGTATATGGCGAAAAATCGAATAAGGCAGCCCGTACAAATAGCGCCCATGGTCGAAGGAAACAGAGAAACATAAAGGCCGTATGTGACGCAAAGTGGTTCCTTGTCAAGCGTTGATGATAAGATTGCGTTGACTGCTGTCCTCGGGATAGGCTCCGAAGACGAATCGATATAACTCCGTGAGCCACTTGAAAGATTCGTTTTTACCTAGCCATTGCACAGACCGTCCAATCTCAAGTGCTGTCAGTCGGCGAAGTGGTTGCGTGTGAATACTGCGTAGCGCCGAGTCTTTGAGAACAAGCTTCCGATAGTTGTCGAACAATTCAGTTTGCCATGGTTCGTTCCCGAAGCTATTTGATGGTAGTGCGCGAATGAAGTCTGGGAGTGGTATTTGGCGGTTATAGCCAGTGTTGATGGCTGCTTTAACAATGAGCCCTTTCAGGCGAATCAGAGCAGGATCTTCTCGGCCAGCAGTGGCAGTAGAAGATGTATGTACCGAAGCATCGGAGTATGTAGAGAGATTAGAAGAAGACGAAGACCAGCGATCGTGGGTTCGCGTCAGGCCAGCCTCTGGGCCGAGAACAAGAATATTTGGAACGTTGGGCTCGTCTGAGGGAGAAAACTCTTCACGGTCGTCGAAAATAGTAGTCGGGGTCTCTGGCTGCATTGGGGTTGCTCTCCTGGTTTGCATGGCCGAGTGGTATGATTCATTGATGCTCGAAGACCTCGCAGACCGTTCGGAGTATGCGCTCTGGGATCGGTGTGACATAGAACTGCGTCCTGCTGAAAAGCTGTGCTGAGACGGTCGTGGGGTGCTGCGATCAGGTCGAACTTGTGTCCATCCTTCACGGAACAAGTCACACAACTCCCAGCAGGCCTGGATGGCCGACCCAAGCAACTCTTCATCAGGGGGTTTGCCGTCTCGGCTATTTTGACGGAGGCTAAACAGCATTTCTGCGAGCGACCAGCAAGCATGCAAGAGTGAATCCGTCTCCTCAGGAAGCGAAGTTCGTTGTTTCATAAGGCGATGGCAGAGGGTCAAGTAAAAGTCGAGCGTACGTTCACGGAAAGTCTCGGGCAATGTGCGGTCGTGAGCATTGTAGAGATGGTTGTTGAGTTCAAAGCTGACTCGGAGGACCGAGTCCGCCGCCTCATCGCCGCGTTGGCGCACGTCAAACAGTGCTTGACAAAAGTCACGGCAAAGCTCCAAAGTGGGCTGAATCTGTGCTGTGGGGTTCTCTTCTCGGCTCTCATAGAGTTTCTGGCATAATCGCCAACAAGTCCTCCAAGCATGCTCCTGCGTATCAGCGCTTCCGCCAGAGTAATGGAACATACGCGTTCGATGACGTTGGCTCAACTTTGCCAGTGAGTTGCACAGTATCCAGCATTCGTCCAGAGCGCTTCGAAGACCGGCTACTTCTTTCTCTGTCTCGTGAATTCCAATGATTGCCTCTCCCATGGTTTGGGTGCCAGTTGAAGCTGGCTCGCCATCCTGTGACTGTGAAGACTGGCTGTCGTCCTGATCAATGATAGAGCTCGAAGAAGAATCAGTGGCGATGTTGTCTTCGTACTCTGCAATGTCTACGAATGTAAGCTAGCGTCCAATACAATGGGTCTGCACGCGTACCAGCAAGGTTCAAACTTTTACGAGCACTGCGTCGTCTAAGGTCCTCTTCGAAATCTTGTCGGGTTTGTGCACGCGGTGTGCTACGATCTGGAGCAACGGAGTTGGAGACTGCGGTGTCAATTGGAGCGGTGAATCCAGAGGATGAAGACGAGTCCTGTGTGCTGTTAATCACCTCGAGCGCATCAAGACCAGCGGTAAGCTAACCTTGTCGTCCATTTCAGGCAGCATGTTTGCTTCTGGTGTCGATGGCGATACAACGACGGTGTTATCCGACATGTTTGCACTGGACGAGGCGCCAGAAGTGCCCACCCGGCTCTTGTCCACACGTCAGCCATGTTGTGCAACAGCAACTAGACAACAAAGAGGGGCCTTACGAATTGTTTGAAGTTGTCCGGGGCATGGATGACAGATGGAGGCGCATCATCGGAATCTGCGCGGCGGACCGTAGTGTTGAGCTTATGGGTTTGGGGCTGCTGGACGTATTAGAGTGTGAAGCGCATGTTTCTCAAGGTGGCTGTGACATGCCTTTGTGTGACCGTCTTGGCTCGCTGGGCTCACAATGTCATCAGTAATCGGGGAGCGTATGTCGCTCATGCCGTCCTCGCTAGGCGTGTTTTCCTGCGCATCGTCCTCAATCTGTGGTGGGGTCAGCCCCGCGTCGTGTCATTTGCATCCGTCACATCGCGTACCTCGGTGTGGTCAGTGTGGCTAGTGCCGTTGCTGTCGACGGGGGAAGGGTCTACGGTTGCCGGATACGGGCTGGGTGGTGGCTGGAGGTGTTCGGAGGCATGTCCTGAAGATCTTGGAGAGTCCATGTTAGTGGAACAGTCGCATTGGTCTCCGAGTGGGGGGGGAGGGCACCTATTTGAGAAGACGTGAGCAAAAGTGCCCGGCGAACTGGGCGAGTCCGTGTAGGGGCTAAAGGCCGACATGGACTTAAGGCCACTTGGTGACGGCATGAGCTGCGTCGCGGTTGCCATGCCTCAGGCGGCTCTTTGTTCAAAGGGGGGGAGACAATGGGGAGAGAGCGCCAGAGCTGCGCCGGGTCAGCGCCGCAGTCAGAGGTGCTAGGCAGTGGTGGGTTGACCAAGGGCAAGGCTGAGCAGCGAGTCAGGAATCAGAAGGCAATGCGCGGCGCGAAGACGATGGGCGTCTTGATAAAAAGAGAGACGGAACAAGGCTTCTCAAAGCAGACCAGCTGCCAGAAGAGGCTCAATGTGCTGGGGAGCGGCGGCGGCGGGAGGTGGGAGTGGAAGTGGGAGGGGAAGTGGTAGTGGTGGCGGGCGTGGTGGTGGTTTCAACACAAAGCGACTCTGCCTCGGTGGAGACCGTGAGCTCAGTCGATCGAGGCAGGCGTCAAGCTGAAGGAAAGAGTTATTAGCTAGGCAGGCGAACGCCATCGACAGCGGCCCATGGCCCGCTTACAGCTGGCCGTTCACCACCACTTGGCACATCAGACGAATGGCTGTCCGCAGTGGGGGGCTGGGCTCCAGGGATGAACTGCAGCTTTAAGCGCCCGCCGACAGGCTGCGCCCTCTGCCTGAGTGCCAGAGACACGACGCTGGATCCCATACAGTCGATCCGGCTCACCGGCCTGGCGGGCGAACGCCTGCGGCTTGTTGCAGTTCTGGGCTCGTGGGACAACTCGGCTTACTCTTCCATCGTGTAGCAATCCTTTTCAGTCGCCATTATCATCGTCATCATCATCATTACCCCCACCACCACCACCACCACCACCACCATCAGCATCCCCATATCAGCGAACGTTGCTGCAGAGAGCTAGGACTGGTCTGGGTAAGACGCTAATGCATCCTCTCTCAAAACGCTCCATCATGTGCATGGAGACTGCTGTGAGGATGCGGCACAGCAGCGTCTCCCCCGTCTGGCCGTGTGTGCTCAGTCTCCATTCCCGGCCCCATCGCCATCGACGTGGCCGCCTTGCAGCAAATCCATCTCGCCCGCTTGTGATTGTCCTCCTCACTCGCAGCCGCCCACAAGCCCATGGCATGGCCAGAGCCTCTTCCCGATGCCATGTTGGTACCTGTAGCATTCATTACCATCCCTCACACACTCCCGCTACTAGCTCATCTCCACCTTTTACACACGCACACGCGTTCGGCTTTCTCCCGCTACCATGTGCTCGGATGCCTGAGTACTAGCCAATCAGCTGGCCCATGTCAACTTTATCATGGCATTTCCAACTTTTTTTTCCTTTCTTAGCCTACCAGGATCACCACCACGCCCCCGTGTACCATATTCCTCTCCGAGACGAGGCTCCCTTGTTGGCTAGTTGGCTAGTTTTTTTTCTCTGCATTCGCACACGCGTACGATGCAGCAGCCCTTGTTGATGATGCGACCTGCGCCGCTCCCGCGTTTGACATTAGCCGCGCACAATGCCTGTCAATAGGCGCCGTGGAGTTGGATTTTCTATTCGACCAGCAGCTTCAGCCTCCCCAAATAACGAACACGAGACAGATGCTACTGCCCACATTGACTCGTCTCTTGCCTACACAGAGCCCATCGACAAACCCAATTCTGCCCGAATGTGCCATTGTCGGGCGATGTCAAAGGCACCAATGGCCCATGCGTAGGGCACGAGACGCGACTGCCGTCGATGCGTCTGATGCCCCACTTGCTTCTTGACGACGCTGACTCTGTGTACTTACTCTAGAATAGTCTATCACTCATCCAACCTAGCCAGCCCCGCCCTCGCACGATTCGGCGCTTATTGCCATTGTTTCTTTGGCACATTCACGCCTACATCCACATTAACCACCAACCCGCACCGGATATATCCAAGTTTAGATGGCTTCATGTGTCAAAAGACGCGATAGACGATGGCCTGACGGCGATCCCTTCTAGTGATTGCCAGGCCAGAGCCCATTGTTCTGGTTAGCAGCCAAGGCGTCCCATCCACGACATAGTATACCAGAGCCTTCAACATGGCCTGCTAGTGTCCAATCAACTGTCCAACTACCCAACAAATGCCATACTCTGCCACCAACTACCAACAGACCATGCTTTTCAAGGCACAGGCAACCACATTTCTCATGTACTTACATACTATACTAATCCCAGGAGCTTATCCAACCCCCAACCGATTGGACAAGTCTAACAGCCCAACTCCAATCACCCAACCGCAACCCAACACGCCACACTAAATCTACCGGCCACGCCCCCTCCCCCACCGCTTCGCACATGACACGCAGTCTCCAGCGATAATCCTCCGAGGAAGACCATTCTTTAGCCCTTGGAAATGCTTCTTTTTCTCTAACCCACGAGTCACTGCAAAGCCAAGCAGAACAAGTTTGGCCTCTTGCTGTGCCCCGTCAGCCCTACCCTAAGCACACTGACACATGTTTATTGTCTCACAATACCAACAATGCATCGTGGAGCAAGTCTGCCTTGGGGAAGATAGAATGAATGGACTTTGTTGGACTATGCGTGTACATACATAGACGCTGTGTACATACAAGCGCCTTGTTCTTTTGAAAGAAGAAAGAAAGACGTTGTCAAGTATTGGCAGTTCAACTACCGTCTTATTCCCTCCAATTATAATGCACGTTACTATTACCACAAGCATTGGAAACATACCATTGTCAATTGAACGGGTATTTGGCCCATTGCACTGGTGAACAGTAGAAGTGGCTCAGTCTCACATTACACTCATGAAGTTTGAATCAACCTGTCTCAACACTCATCATCACCTAATTGCATTCAATCTCAGTCTTTGGAGCCTACATTACGTCATTGCATATATTCATCTTCTTCTTCTTTCTGTCCTCACATCACTTCATCTTGGAAATACTAACCACATTCCTCAGCGTCCCAAAAGGCAACACGTCTGCAATGCGCTTCTTGTTGGCAAATAGCATCACCAGCCTGTCCAGTCCACAGCCCCAGCCTCCCGTTGGCGGCATCCCCCACTCGAGTGCTTCAAGGTAGCTCTCGTCAATGGATCCGTGTCCATCGGCTTGGAAGTCAAGCTGCTGCATAAACTTTCTTCGCTGCTCAAACGGCGAGTTTTCCTCTTCGTACGCATTGACGTATTCGCGTCCATGAATAAACAGTTCCACGCGTGAAGCCACACGCTGGCCCGTCGATTCATCCACATATGACTTGGACAGTGGTGAAAGAGCTTCCGGGTGCTGCGTGATGAACGTGGGGTTCTGGCATAGTGGTTCAATGTACACTTCTGCTAGACTGTCAAGTAGACGCGGTAATGTTGGATTTGGAGGGGCATCAAGGCCGAGTTCTTTGTAGAGCTGCAAAACCTTGCTCGGAGCGTCGGGTAATGAGAAGTCGGGCAGCTTGCGGCCACTAGCTTGTTCAATCGTGGGGATAAAGGGGAGTTGTGCAAAGGGCTGTGAGAAGTCTACGCTTTCCGGGGATGTTAGTGTGGGGAAATATGTTGAGCGCAATGATTCGATTGCGGTATGTAGACCGTGGATCAACTGCTCCGTCCTGGCAATGACAATGGGCAATGTGGCGCCAACCTCGTAGAATTCGCACGTGGAGAATTCAGGGTTGTGTGTGTTGTCCACACCCTCATTTCTGAAGACGCGCCCGATTTCGAAAATCTTGTCTTGCCCTCCGATGATGAGGCGCTTCAAATTCAGCTCTGGCGCTATCCGCAGTCGGATTGGTATGTTGGAGAGCTCGTTGGCTACAGTTTCAAAGGGGCGGGCAATGGCGCCTCCAGCGCTGACGTCAAATATGGGTGTCTCGACCTCCATGAAGCCGCTCTCGATAAAGTAGGTACGGACGTAGTCATATATGAGTGCTCGCAGACGAAGAATGTCACCCGGCTCGTCGCTCGTAAGGGCATGGATGTGCGGCCGTCGTGCGAGCGTCTCGGCATCTTCAATCTTCTCGGGCAGGTGATGAAGGCATGGGGCAAGGACCTGGGGCACTTGGAGGGCGAGGATGGAAAGTTGCCCGGTTGAGGTCTTGGTTGGATTGCCGTTGATTGCTGGCAAAACTTAGCATGCATCCCAGGCAGAAGACGGGCAACATCACGTACAAATCCAATCGCCGATTCTAGCAACTTTTTTGAAGCTCTTGAAGCTTTCGTCAAGACCGTCCTGCGGCGCGAGCTTTTTCAATTCCACCATGACTTGGAGCCGCTGTGTGTCGCGCTCGATATCAAGAAACATCAACTTGGAGCTAAGCAGCCGCACTGAGCGCACCCTTCCTGACGGTGTCAGAACGGGAATGTTTTTGCTCACGGGTAGTGGCATATCCTACCAAACACGGACACGACATCACTTGTGGTTTCTGATATGTCATGATACTTTGCATTAAAGTCGCGTACCGACATGTTCTGGGCATTGGCCGAGTAGACCAGTCTTGGATGATAGTCACCCAATGGCTTTACTTTTGCCAAGTGGTCGAGCCGCTTCTGCTTCTCGACATCGTGCGGGCCAGTGTATGCGTCGGCGGCTATGCTCTGCACGAAGCGTCTCTGAAGCGCGATGTAGGCTTGAGCATGGTGCGGCTTGAGAGACCGACTAGCTCCATGGAGGTAGGGACGCAGGAAGTTAAAGGATGGCTTGCTCATGGTTCCTTATGGTCTTATTAGCCACAATGCGCATTGATTCGTCAGAGAAAACGGCGGTAATTGAGAGGGTTCAGTAAAGGGTATGGTGAAGTCAACCGCCACGAAAGGCGTCATTCGCAACGGTTCTAAGGTTGTTTTGGATCATCATGTGAAGAGGGTTGTATTGGCTTGATGAGCAGCCAGAGTACAAGGCACATGGGCGCAGAAGAAGAGAGGAGGTGGTACTAACCTTTGTCACAAGCACGCCCATCTCTACAGAGACGAATGGCGGCATGCAATGCAGAGAGAAAAATCGTCGTGACAGAAACTGCCAAAAGCTCTGACCAGCAGAGGTGCGCACGGGTCCGCACATTGGGCACGAATGCCTGAGCTAAGCGATCACGTGACTCTGATGCTAGCGTGCCGCCAGCGGGTATATAAACTGGCCGCCCCCCGTCCCTTTCTTGATTCCTCATACTTACCTTCTTGCGACGCACTGAGCTCAAGTATTCAGTGGTCTGACAACGTCGCCTCCATTGCACAGCGGGGTGTGGTGTTGTCATGAATCTCCTTCGGGGGCTTCAGCGGGGCAATTTTTGCTGGTCTGCCACTGTGGCATTTCTTTTTCATTAATTCTGTTGCCTAGTGCAGCGGATTGAGGAAGAAGATGGGACGTGAACCAGCACATCCACTATCGACTATCACCGTTAATAGCGTTTGCTTGGAGGTGCTGTATCCTGCTGTATTGCTTGCCCACAGATATGTAATGTTACATATACCTTTCTGTCAGGCTCCAATATTGCGCTAATACGCGCTCTGCTTATTTACTATAATCGGTTAGCATGTTAGGATGCCATTCCTCAGGTTCCAGAAGTACGTCTCGCTGCCCTGCGACAAGCCTCACACTACATTCTTAAACACCTATCCATACCCACGATAGCATCCAGCCCACCCATTTGTACGATGCCTTGGCCATCGATGTCTGATTGTTCGACATCTTCTCATCTCGCAACCTTTGCCTCTTTTGCCATTTGCTGTCCAAGAACTGGATTTGCTCTAGATAAGTCTCATACTTTGCCATTCTCTCCTCATCCTCTTCAGAAAGTCGGTGATCCGCAACAAGCATGATGTAGTCCACAAACAAAGGCTTGCCGTTGTATGTCACGTTTACATCAGCGCCATGGTGGAGTAAAAGCTTCATGAGGCGGTGTCGATGCAGCGCGCTCGGGGCGCGACATCGGCCAAAAGGCTTCAACGAAATCTGATGCAGGAAACGACCTCATATTGAGCAGTCCCCATACATCTCGTTGGGATCTGCGCCCGATCCAAGGAGATAGCGCACCATGTCCAAGAGCTCAATTTCCTGGAACACGGCTTGCCCGAAACCCAGAATATGCCATTCCTGTGTGTAAGCCAGTCGAGAAAGTGAACTGGGGGTCGAGAATGCCGAGACTTTTCCGATGTCGGTCTAAAGACCCAGTCAAACGTTTGCGCGTGTGCTGGAGCAACGTTTGAATGCCGTGTCTTCATGGATTTGAAGTACAAGCTAGACAAGACCTTTTGAGATTTGGTCAGGTACCGACCTTCGTTGACCAAACTCGTCAGGGCGTCTCCGATGGCTTTCAGGTCTTCTGCCTTGATGGCTGATCCTTCTCGCGTCAATGCAGCTTGAGCTTGCGTTGCATCCACCGCTATGTCGCTTATTTCTTTCGACAACCGATCTAGCATCTGTGTTTGATTCAGCTCCATACGAATATTATCCTCTTTGAAAGCTTGAAGCTGTACGTTTATCGTAGATTGCCGATCTCTAGATGACATCAGTTAGACTTCTTGTTTCGACTGGAGAAAAACAGGGCCAACTCATCCCAAACTATATACGAGGCCCTGGGTCAGATCTCGACGGTGGCTGTCCAGCTTTCTCTGCAATTCTTCAATCTTGCTCTTCTTCCAAACGCTCCGTACTGCTTGCAGAAAGCTCTGGTATGATCGATTTTGGACATTTTGTTTCACTTGTAATTTCTGCAACAAAACTAGTAGTTCGTCGGCTATAGACTTGCAAGATGCTGCAAGATGTACGAAAGAGTGATCAGACGTAGGACGAAAGTCTAGATCAAGTTCATGTGCTATGTTAATCGTTTATGTAAAGGCTGTGTACAGGCTGTGTGATGGCTGCATGAGGGCTGTGCCAATGTGGTAGCTAGGCTACAGCGCGCCATCGCGCGCAACTTGTGGAGGGGTCGTATTTGCAGACGATGAACGTTGATTGTATCATTAATAACAGATGATCCGAATATGAATGTCTGCTTCAGCATGTAGTTATTTTCAAGTAGAACAGAATATTATCTACCTATGTTGTAACCAAATATATGCTAATGGTTGTATTCGTAGCATCTTCGAGCAGACGTATTGTAACCCCTCCCTGTCATGTGGCGCACGCTTTCTTGTGGCTGCATACTTACTCGACTTCAGCTGGTGATGTAGTCCAACTAGCATTGCCTGCGCTGAGCTTGCCTGTCGATCGCATGTACAACACGCTCGGATGTAGTTTTTACACGACCGGAGATTTTTGGCACATGCATGGTTGCTTTCCATGTTTCTTCAGAGGCATCATGGTTGTTTTTCCTATTGCGCAAAATACGCCGAAGACATGCCTTTGTACCTGCATTAGACATTGCCCAGTTTCCCTTCCGGTACCCGTGTCTGCGTTACGTGCATATTGCCCAGATGCTCGACACATGGAAGCTCACGCAATCCCCCATCATGGTCCTCAATCTCAAGGATATAAGTCCTTTCTTGTGCCGTGTTCTTTTCCACTACAGCTTGACGTCGGTCTGGACGCCTCGACCATGCTGCATTCGCGCTACTCTCAGCCCACAACTACTCAGTTGGTTTATCACTGCCAGCCACATCAGAATTACAACACACTCGATTCATAGCCACGCGCCGAAGATGCCGAAGTGAAAAAGCCTGGTCTTGCCGGCCATCGTTGCCTGTCTAGCTCCAACGGCGATCGCCAAAATGCGTGGTGCCCCGCCATGACATCGCCATGACGCGTGCCTGAAATGTTCACCACCAACACACAGCATGTGCCGCTGCACATGGCAATCCCATATTCACCTCGCATAGCGGACATCTGCCCCTCCACAGCATGTCATGACGTTAGGCTAGCCCCTACAGGCGCATGTACAAGGGGGGGAGGATTAACCGCTGGTTCGCGGTAGTTGTAGCAGGGCTGCAAATTCAACGTCACATTTTCACCAATATGTCATCGATCTGACTCTGGACGTAGTTGAAAAGGTAGGCCTTCTGCTCGTATAGCTCTTGTACTTCCCAATCCCCCATACTCTATTGAACCTTTCCAATTGTATCTATTGATATCCTCGAATTTCACCCATCAGTAATACATTGCAACAACCGCCCAAAATGATGTCCCAAGCCGCCATGCAGGCGGAGAAGGCCGTAGGCCACGGAGACAACGCCACCACCACGCAGGATGTCACCAACCCTGGAAACAATGAGGCCTGGTCAGACAACTCGGAAAAAATGAAGGCCTTGGCATGGTTCGGCAAGAACGATGTCCGCATGATTGAAACTCCAAAGCCAAAGGTCATTGAGCCTCGCGATGTTATTGTCAAGGTGACCGGATCCACTGTTTGCGGCTCAGATCTTCACTTGCTTCACGGCTCTGTCGTAGAGATGCAGAAGGGCGATATTCTCGGCCATGAATTCTGTGGTGTTGTCGATGAGTGCGGTTCCGAAGTCACCAAGTTCAAGAAGGGGTATGTTTGACCTATCACACTGTATGCAAATGCACTGCTAACACGATGTAGCCAACGCGTTGTTGCGTCCTTCCAGATCGCCTGCGGTGATTGCTACTACTGCAAACAGAAGCTATCTTCCCAATGCGAGAAGACAAACTCCAACACCATCGAGAACACCATGTATGGCGGCCGGACCGCGGGCATGTTTGGATACTCTCACTTCACTGGTGGCTTTGCTGGTGGCCAGGCAGAGTACACTCGCGTTCCCTACGGTGATGTTAACCTGCTGCCACTTCCCGACGACGTCCCTGATGAGCAGGGTCTCTTCCTCTCCGACGTCCTGTGCACTTCATGGCACGCCGTTGTTGACACTGGTGTTAAGAAGGGAGATGTTGTAGCCATCTGGGGAGCTGGCCCAATCGGACAGATGGCTGCAGATTTCTCTTTGCTGAACGGCGCATCCAGAGTCATCATGATTGACTCCAACTGGCGTCTCGACTTCATCAAGAACAAATACCCCCACATTGATACCCTCGACTTCTCTACTCTGCCCAAGGGAGAGTCGGTAACAAGCAAGCTCAAGGAAATGTGCAACAACCGCGGCCCTGATGTCAGCATCGAGTGCGCCGCCGGAGAGTACGCAAAGGGCTGGGCACACTACTTTGAGATGATGCTCGGCCTCGAGACCGACACCAGCGAAATTGTCAACGAGATGATCTCCAGCACACGCAACATGGGTCGTTGCGGTATCACCGGTGTATACGTCGGCTACACCAACCATTTCAACATCGGTTCGCTCATGGAACGCGGCATCCGCCTGATTGGCAACGGCCAAGCCCCCGTCCACATGTACTGGGAGTCCCTGCTCCAGATGATCCAGGAAAAGCGCATCGACCCGTCCAAGATGGTTACCCACCGTGTGCGTCTCGAGGATCTCGACAAGGTCTACTACAAGTTTGAGAAGAAGGAGGATGGCATGCAAAAGGTCTTTGTCGAGACAAAGTGGAGTTTCCCGGCTGCCAAGTGTAGCCCTGAGCTGACTAAATACTAATTCATAATGACGCAGAGTAGAGTGTTTGTAGCTTAGTGATACCAACAAGAATATAATGTTAACGATTGCGAGTGATAAGGTATCATCCCTGGTTTTATATTGAGTCTTACCTTGTTATTGATTTTTGGTATATCTAGCAGTTACATTGCGTGAACAGAAAATCAAGATTGTGTTATGAGATGCCTCACGCAAAGCACCCAATGCTGATCTTCCTAAAAGCAGGACCCTACACTCAATCACTCTCCGAGTCCGTCTCGTTGAAACCCCAACTTTCCATCTCCTTTTGATAATTCTTCGCCATCTTTTCCTCCGTCCACTTATCCCTGACCAGCCAGTACGTCGAAATGCTGTAAAACTGCCAAGCAAAAGCCCAAAAATATCCGATAGCGTACTCGAAGCGATCAACCCATTTGGCATCAGTGCCATATCCCAGGCTCTTCCTCGCCTTCCTCCAGCAATAAACTACACCACCCTCGATAGCCAGTGGAATAACCTGGCTCGTGTACATGAAGGTGATGGCCCAGATATCCCCCCAGGGAGAGACCTGCCACCTCACGGCTGTGTGCATGAGGCCCGAAAGGAAGAAGACGAGCATGTTCTCGAACAAGCGCGTGAAAGTGTTGCGCGACATGCCGAGCCAGCCCCTAGTCACGCACTTGACGTGACCGTTGAAGGAGTGGTAGATGTAGTTGTGCCAGTAGTGCCTCCAGTACCGTCGAACCGACCATGCAGCAGAGAGATTTCCAAAGAGACCCAGGCCCCATTCTTCGGGGCCATCAATGCCCAGTGCAACGTGTAGCACGGCGAAGATGCTGTGGTAGCTTTCGTACAGCCACTTTGTCGGCACGTTCCAGTTGAAGGCTTCTTCGGTGCGCCAGTAGATTTCTCGGTAGTGCAGCGACGAGGGCAGTCGCCTGAAGAAGGAAATATGGTCTGCCGTGGCGTAGGCGTCGGGGTCCCGGCGAAACGGCGAGACGTGGTATTCGTAGTATTCCCAGGCGTATTGCTGCGCGTACAAGCGGAGGGCTTTGAAGAAGTGGTAGAAGACGAACTGCCAGCGCGAGAAGCCGTGTTTATATCTGGCTTGTGGGATGTGTTGCGACTTTTGCTCTGAGACATTAATTGGCTCGTCCGTCTTCTTATATGTAGCAGCGTGGTCTTGCTCCTGCTTCTGCTCAGTGTTGATATTGTATACTGCTCTTGTCGAACTGTTATATTCCTGCTGCTCATATAATTGTTTTTGCTGCTGCTCGACAACTTGAACATGACTCCGGTCAAAGAACACCTTGTATGCTTGCCTGATGCGCTCCTTGGTTTCACCCGGGCCAGGACGCACATTGGGCTTGAATTCCAAGATGCACACTTCGTAGCTCATGTGTGCGAACCAGATGATACATGCTCGGGCAAGTGTATCGACGTGATCGGAGTTGGGCGAGATATATTCGCAATACCGGAATGCGAAGAATACCGGTACGAAGAGGTACACCATGGTTTGTTTACGAGCGAGGGAGGTGGCGGGTGGGTAGGCGAGGATGGAGATACCATATGCGATGGCTATCGCGAGTGGACCCGCTGCTACCGGCATGACAGACGGAGTCCAGTTTGGGTGCACATAGCGGCCAGGCATTTTGAGTGGTTGTACGAGTTGGTTGTGTGTCGGGCTAATGCAAGTTGATGGAGTTGCAGAGCCGGGTAGAAGAAGTTGAGAGTGCCAGTAGAAATAGCAGGTGCGCTGCTGGAAAGTTGACATTGCATAAATTCGAATCAAGTGAACGTGGGGTTTTGCTTCATCATCCGTGGTTGGGCAAACACTACCGAGATGAAGCTCGCAAGACTGGCTCGTCCAATTCCCTTTGCGGGAAACCAAATCACTTCCACACATTGGCGCAAATATGACCTCACGGGTTTTTTGAGCGGTGAAAGTGTTTAATCACTCATGTTCCCCATTGGGCCTGTGGTGCAAAAGTTCTGCTTATGATTCAGATTTGGGCTGCTTTGGCGAGGTAGTGAATCGGCTTTCACTGAACGATATCGCCGTTTTCATTTTACAAGATAGGTGAGTGGATTGGATTTACAAATAGCTGCAATACATCATTACTCGATCCGAAATCTGGATCAGGGTTGGCAACATTTTGCTATGTCCCAGAAAGCCCTATCGTGAATCAGAATTGCACATTGGAGTGGACACAATACTAAAACTTGAGCCTTCAGGTGTTTACCAAATGATCTTTCTATCATTTGATTTAACAAGGTAAACATGCACACCATCATCTGAAGTCCCTGTTTGGAAATGTTCGTCTCCCACTCCTCTTAGAACGAACATTGTGGATACAAATGAGCATCTCCATACCGACTGGCACATTCTGATTAAGTTGCAAGAGCAAGATGCATCAGCCATAACCCCAGCTTTCTTGAGACCTACAATACGATTTTCAAAATAGAAGACACTACTAGTAATACCTCGTATTATTCAGCAATGATCATACACATCGCTCACGTAACAGTGACCCACTCAGTCCTTGAGAATACGAGGTCAGCCCACAGCCTAGAATTGTCTCCACGAGCACTAGCCACAGCACTCGCAGCGTGCACTGAAGCGAAAAAATAAGCTTTGGATTGGCGAAAGGGTAGTGCAACATGACAGCCGCAGTAGGCCAAGTCCTGATCAACAGGGGTAGCAAGTATTGGAATCCAGATGCGCCAAGGAGTATCCAGAATACACCTTATCACTCCAAGACTATGTTCTAGAGGATTTCATTTGCAATCTCCACCCCTAGTGTCTTCCACATTGTCTATTTCCCGTAACTCAACCCCAGGGAAATCGTTGCATATGCATAAAGGAGAAATACAGATAGACATAAGAGATGAAGCGGAAAGAAAAAAGCAAATTAAAACCTACTCAAGCCACGCTGCTTTGGCGACATGCATAGTCACCGCCACAGCGCGGCGCTCCCACATACCAAGACGTCCGCCAAGGCAAAGAGCAAGCAAGCGGCAAAAGAAGGGAAGGACGAGTGAGAAGAAGAAAAGCGGGTTGAGGGAAGAGAGACGAAGAGAAGAAAAGAAGCATACGTGATATCGACCGTCATCTCCAAGTTGTCACATCCAGAAGCAGGGCAAAACCTCCCACTATCGGTAAAATCGCGGGACCCCGGAGCACAATCGGTGTCGTTGATCGTGGTCGTATTCGCCGGCCCCTAAATCGCCTCGTATCGCGTAGCGGGCGGGAGAGTCGAACTACTCAGCGCCACGGACACGCGTAGCCGCGCCAGCGACCCAGCGACCCTCACTAACGGGACGCCAAAAAACCCCCACGTGTCGGCTAGTCTACGCCCTCGACACGAAACGGACTCGTCGCAAGAAATGCTCGCGTGAGGGCTCCGAAGCAAAGTCCGAAGTAATGTCTTACACCCCCATCACTATCTCTGTCGTGTAACCCAGAGGGAAAAGCGAAAAATCGCCCCCTTTTTGGTTTGCCTATTTTTGAAATCAACCTATTATAGTCGGGCGAACCCTAGTAACCATGGGGGGAGGGGGTTCAACATGAGAGACACCAAAATACCTGACGCATATTACAACTATTTTGGTTTTCCGCCCCTGTCCCCCAACCCAGGAAATCCTACTAACCAGCCCACTTCCACAACCAACACTGTAAGTAAGAATGTTGCACCGCACTGCACTCACCTCATCCGCAAATATCCGCCCATCCATAGTAGCATAGCTCCAAACATACCATACCCCATCGTTGCATCCCGCCTCCCCCTCCCCCCCATCCTCGGCTCCTATCTTCCGCGCGCCCAGCCACGCACACACATACGTACATGGCACGTTGCATCCCCTCATCCATGCTCCCCCCCAAAAAAAGCTCGGGACCGCGCCTAGCAGCACGAGACCACCACCACCCATTTGCCCACTTCCCAGCTTGATTCCACATTTACATGCAGCAGTATGCAAGTAACTAACTACTCTAGAACAGCATGCATGCAATATCGCCAAGTCGGTGACCCCATGTCTAGCGCATCCGAGAAATTCATCATCCACGCAAGAGAGAAATATCATCCAAGGACAGAAACAGAATAGAATAGAATAGAAAGACAGTAGAGTCAAGAGCAAGTACGTCTTGGCACTTTGTTCGGTACCGCTCTTCCTAAAAGCAATCTTCTTCTTTTTTTTGGGGGTAGGGGGGGAGGAGAGGTGGTAGCGGCTGGCCTTTTATTTTCGGACTTTTCACGTCTCTTTTCTTAGAGCGGCGGGTGCGGACGACTCTGCTACTGAGAGATGGGATGATGGATACATAAGGAAGGAGTGGAGGACGGAGGAAGGGAGGGGGTGCAGGTGGCTAAGTTAGGGGTTCAAAAAAAAAGGGCCGAGTATACTAGTATCTTTTCAATGTGGCTGATGTAGCTAGCACTTTTGTTATCATGCTTGCGCCATCTTTTTTTTTCTCTTTCTTTCTCTATCCTGATTCTTCGAATTGAAAACATGGTTTTACCTTGGATGTGAGATGGCGCTGGCCTGGCCTGGCCAGACCATATGATAAGGATCGTGGTGGGTGGTGCATTACTACTCCGAGTTAGTGGGTGCATTTTCCAAGGCGCAAGACAGGAAGTTTTTGAAGGTCCAAATGGGCAAGCGTGTGGCGTTCTGCCGCAACGACGTCATCGGGCATATCTTCACATGAAGCGCAATGGAGAAAGTTGTCGGTTTTTCTTGATTTGTTTGTTGACCTACGTATGGCGAGTGGGGACGCGGGATAATGGTAAATGTTTATGCAAGGCAAGGCTGCGTGACAACGCGATGGATGGTCATGTGGTCACATTAGCGGTGACTGTGATGCTGATGCCTAGTTCATGTGTTATTAAACTTTCGCCAGTGATGCCGATGCGATACCCCCCTTAGGTCAGACAAAGACACTGTTCAACGCACTGAGCTAGCACCACAAACATATAAATGACATCACAGTGCCCGCGCTGCTGAGCTTTCATGTGTTTTTGCGGTTGAATTACTAGATAGTTTGGCGGGCTTTGGACACGCTTCTCAAAATACAACACGCCGATCGTCTTGACGGCTGCGACACACGGAACGCTGGCTCATCTAGGCCCTATGCACATGCACATGCCATATTTTCAACAGTTGCCCCCAAAAAAACTCCTTGAAAATGCCATATGCGATAAAAAAACTGGTATCCGCAGATATTGGAAAACCCTGAACAAATGAAATCGTTACCCTGACAGAAATGAAAAAGAAGACTAAAAAAAACTTGGTAAATGTTGCCGGACCGGACCAGAGGTTCTCGTTTGTTTCTCCGATCGGCGTGCCCATTGTTCCTTGATTACGCATGCTTGGTGGATTAATCGTTCATGGCTGTCTACGCCATGTTTGCAGCGCCATGCTTCTCGTCCTCGCTTTTTTCAAACATGGTATCCTCAAGCCACTTGGTGGCCTTGGCGCACTGTGCGTCGACGTAGGTGATCCAAAGATGAGCAATCGTGTACTCGACAACGAAAAAGAGGGGGATTGCTAGTGTCCAGACGAGCCAGCTGGTGGTCCTGGGGATGTAGTGGTGAATGGCCTCGCCTTGACCGTCCTTTGGTTGCTCAACGTGGTATGGGGCCGTGCTGAATCCATAGATCAATCGTGCAAGTCCAACCTTCATGACGGTTCCGTGGGTCAGGTAGACAGCAAAACTATTGCGGCCAACCCACATGAACAGCTTGTTGGAGAAGAGGCTCTGCAGAGAAGGCGAAAGCCAGATTCCAGTGACCATGAGATCCCACCCAATAGCGGTGAAGCGCTTGGGGTAGCTTGCGGCGCCCTGAGGAATGATCCAGTCTCCGAGGTTCTTGAGCTGGACAGACCAGGTCGCCCACTCCCAGTGCTCTCCGGGGAAGCACGCCACATACCAGCCGAGGATGATGAGGAAGGCGGTGGCGAATCGACGGGCCTTGACGCGGTTATTGACAAAGTCACGGAAGCCCTTCTCTGAGCCGAGGTCGCAAAGGATAACACCGTAGAGGAACTGGCACTCAAAAGTTTCTAGAGTGTGTTAGCTGCAAGCTGAGGTGCGGGAGCCAGATGTGACATACCCTTTTCTGGGCTCGTGCGCATCCAGTACCAGAAGAACAAGACAACGCAGGTGAAGAGACGCATGCGGAACTTCATGAAGACGGTGGCGAACAGGAGGATGTAGATGAGAAAGGCACCCTGGAGGAGAGGCAGAAGAGCCCATTGGTGGTCGTCGTACTCGTTGTTTGCGCCGGACCAGGATGTCTGGAAGTTCCTGATCAGTCGTGGAATCTCCGTGTCGAGGCTGCCAATGTTGGTAGGGACAGAGCGTCGGAACCAGTGCGAGTCGCTGAGGTGGGCAATTTCAAAGGCACCCAGCTGGGCGAAGAACCAGGCAATGACGAGAGCGATTGTGGCGGGCATAATAAGTCGGGGTGGGCGGCGGAAGGCGGATTTGCCCAGTGTTTCCAAGGCTGCTGGGATGTTGCCAGACTTTGCCTGGCGGAGAGGCTTGATGGCGCACACGTATCCAGTGAGGAAGGCAAACATGGTGACACCGATACGGCCTTGAAAAGGTAGACGGATAAAAGGTAGTTGGAGCAGTTGGGGTGCTGCGTTCTCGTTGTCGCGTGGCGACCAGAGGCTGTAGTCCCAAGCTCGGCACAAGTGTGTTACCACGACCCAGAAGGAAGCGACGCCACGAACACCCTGCATATGTCAGAGGCACGACACGGAGAGGGAAGTAGAATTTGACTGCATACCTCTACCCAAGTAACATTTTGGCGGTTGCTGGAAGCCATCTTGCCTGGGCCAGCGGCGGGCTCAAGGGGAGTCGCAAGGCTTGAGATGGTGGCGCGAGCGAGCGACAACGGGGCCTTTGCAATGAAAGACATGTGCATGCAGAGGGCGTGGGCAGTGTGGCGATGGGGAATCGGAGCCCAAGGAAGAAATGGTGAGTGCCTGAGTCGGGTGGTAAGGAAACGAGAGAGGAAAGTAAGGAAAAAAAGAGCGACTGGAGGCGACTATAGCAGCTGCATTGGAGTGGACTTGGGCCGACCAAGAAGGAAGTTAAACGCATCACCAGGGATGGAGCAAGTTCCCCATGCGAAGACGGCATCTCGGATGGGACTGCTTGGCGCGATATCGATCTGTCAAGCAAGAGCAGCAACGAGATGGGCGTGTCATTGGCTGTGGGGCTGAAAGGAGAACAAGCGCCGGGCAAGCATGGGTGGCCGCGTCATAGAGGCTGGGCGTGAGAGCACGACGCCCCCACTGGTTTCAGGCAAGGAAGGCTGCTTGGCAGTCAGCAGCAGCCGCATGTGGCGGTGTATTCTGGGTGCTGCTGCAGGCATAGTGTACAGCAATAGAGTGGTAGTTGGACACACCTACACCTCTCCGCCGTGCCGACTTCCGCTCAGTGCAATCGCCAGCAGCCCAGCCCCCGTACCGATGACCTACCAGTCGCCCGGTCCCCCGCCAAGCTCCGCCCGCCCTCATGACCGGGCGGCCGCTGAGATGGAGATATGTGTGTGGGTGTGCGTGCTGGTGGTGTGCATGGCGCCCAGTCCGGCATGTGGCGCGGAGACCACACGTTGAGCCACAGTCGCTGCTTGGGGGCGGGATCGTCCCAGTAGATTACACACCAACCGCTGTTTTATGTGCACCCAAGGCCGCGCAATATGGCCCCTGTGTCCGCCAGGCGACACATACTCCCTACACTATCTACCATCCACCGTCCAAGTACATACACGTACGCAACCTTGACGCGTTACTGCAATATCCCCAACAGCCTATCTGAAATGAGGCTCTGCAAACCTGCGGCTCTGCCATGCGTCTCCCTGTCGACTGCCAATTCCGCCCAGCCAATCACTCCACGGCCCTAGCGTCCCTGTCTTACGCCATCTCCCACCCCCTCCACACCATGGATAGATAGGGCTTTGGCCAACCCAATAATGCCATCCCTTACCTTTCGGGCCCGTCTATCCATGAGTCTAATTAAGTACTCTACTTACACCCACAACGCCTCATAACGTCCTCTTGCCTAACCAACCGCCCACTGATACCGATCCTCATTGGCCCCACGCATGATGTCATTGCTTTGCTTTGCTTTGATTTGCTTTCTTCTTCATATTTGCTACTCTACAGTACATGCAGTACGTGTATATACAGTAGTAGAGTACATGCTCTACGCCTAGGCTACAGCTGCATATAAAACACACACACACACACACACACACACACACACACACACACCCGCTAGTGATTCTTCTCAACAATCTCCTTTGCAAATGCTGCAAAGTCCCGCTTGTCATCCACCTTCTCCCACAAGTTGGGCTGCGTAAACACGGCCAGTGTATTCCTCGCAACTTTTCCACCGCCAGCTCCAGCTCCAGCGCCCCGCACAAAGTGAGGCACCGCTTTAAACTTGCCTTGGGTGATGATCTCGAGCGCCTCGCCAGTCTGGAAGGCTAGACAGTCGCGTGGGATGCTGACTTTGGTCACGGCGCCCGTGCGCGAGTGAATGTAGAGGCCTGCCTTGGGGTCCGGAGATCGCTCAAGTTCCTCGAGGGGTGCAAACGACGCGCCTGCTCGCGGCACATTCGCTCCCTCGTCCACAAACATGGCCGATGTCAGCCCGGTCAGGCACCCATGGTCGAGATGCGTCGCACACCAGTCGTCCTCATCCCCGCTCGAAATCTCCGAGCCAGATGCAGGGCTGGGGAAATAGTGCAGCAGCCGGGCTTTTGTGGAAACACTTGTCTTGACCACATGTTCGAGGTACCCCTTTTGATAGCCTTCAATGTTCGCTTCGGCGTACTTGTCGCATGCTCGCGCAACCAGTGCTGCAATGTCAATGATCAGCGTACATAGCTCGCGGAACGTCTCCTCGAAGCCTGGCAGCAGTTGCTCCGATGGCCACACGTTGGGTGCTGTGTACTCTGGGAACGACGGGTATTTCTCAGCCACTGCCTTTTGCTGCGCTTCAAACCCGGGCGCACAGTTGACATAGTATGAACCCTTTAGAGTGTCGTATTTGCCATCCTTGAGCGTCTCTTTCCCACATGACCATCCAACTAGCCACTTGGAAGCGGGCGATTCAAGCTTTGCTAAGACACGATCAGCCCGCTTGAAACTCAACGAGATACAGAGGGTCTATGCTTACCCAGTTCGTCCTGAGACAGGTTTCCAAGAGCAGATGCATACGAGAGCAGTCTGTGGCGCAGATCATGGAATCTGGACGGGAGATCCTTTACAACAATGATACCCAGACTCGCGGAGCCAAATGCTTCCTCGAGTAATGCAAAGTCGACATCGTCTGCAATGCCAACATCAGCAACGGCTGCCTACCACT